CCCTTCCTGTGGTGGTGATTCCATCTTGCCCAGGAGGTGAACCCTGGGGTTTCACACCAACGACAGAGACGTTGGCTCTGGGTCAAAGCGCCACTGATCATAAACAGTTTTCTGTAAATAAAAACAGTCAAAAATGTTTTTGAATGAAAATATTTATTTATCTTTACATCAAACGATCACAACTAGCTTGACGAGCTGAGTTAGCATCAAAGGGTTCACATGATCGGAACTGAATCTGGATCAAAGAAAATCACACCAACCACTTTAACTGAAAGAAGAAACAAACACACACACACACACACACACACACACACACACACCATCACACGGTCTGGACCGTAGGACCCTGGTCTTCGGTGCCGGTACCAGGTGTTTCTGGTCCTGGTTCATGGAGCCACTTCCAGTCTCTCTGAGTGTTCATTGGCTGCAGCTGCTGCGGTGGGCGTGGTCTTCCTGATGGAGGCGAGGCGGATGTGGGTGGTGCTGTTGATGTAGCTCACCTGACGTTCCGGGGTCCGACGTGAGTGACACCGCAGTTGACTGAGGAGGACCATGAAAACCAGGAAGACAAGAAAGAGCAACACGAGTTTAGCATCTGGTTTCAGACGTGTCGGCGCTGGTGCCACGTGACTGGTACCGACGGTCACCTGTTGAAGTGTCGGCGGAAACTTTCGCTCAGCAGGTAAAGGGCGAACGGGTTGACACAGGACGAGGAAAAGCTGAGGACGCGGGCCACCAGCGTGATGACCAGGTGAGTCACAGACACGTCCAACTGCTGGTGGTGAAAGGAGCGGTACATGTAGAGCACGTGGTTCGGGAACCAGCAGAGGGCGAACAGTCCCACGAAGACCAGAACGATCTTAGCCAGACGCTTCCTGGTCTCCATCTGAGCACGGGAGGGTATCGTTAGAAGTTGTTAGCATGAGATTAAGGTACCGTTAGCATCAAACCAAGGTGTTATATATAAAGTCAATTAAATGTTAAATGTTTATTTAATTAAATGTTCTGCGGCGAAACTATCGTAGCATTAGCATAAGTGACTAGTTGTGTTTTGTTAGCTTAAAACTAAAGTCAAAGGTTAGCATGTGGCTTATTTGTTGTTAGCTGTTATTCTAAGGTTATGTCGTAAACATCTACCGTTATAGCTAACAATTAGCTAAATGAAGCTCCAGCTAACAGCTAACAGTTGACATAACAACAGAAAAGTGAAGCAGCCAACCAGCTGTACGGTTAGCATAGCATCACCGTAGAATCCAGATGAAAGTGAGTGTTTTTCTCCCCTGGTTTTTGAATCCCACTGGGACACGAGTCTAAAGGTCAGAGCTTTTAAAGCCTTGACCTCAGGGCTGGGTCTGAAAGCTTCTGGGCAGCGGTGGGACCCCGACCCTGGTGTTGACCTGGTCTCAGGACGTCCACCTTGTTTCTTAGGAATGAGCTTTAAATGTCGGATGAAAATGTCAAGTGTGTTTCTTCTAAACTCAACATGTCCTACGGTCAGTGAACACATCACACGTCTGAGCGCTTCATGTTCCAGGAGTGGGAACAGGAAAGGAAGTGACCAGGGTCCAGACCACCAGGGTCCAGACCACCAGGGTCCAGACCACCAGGGTCCAGACCACCAGGGTCCAGACCACCAGGGTCCAGACCACCAGGGTCCAGACCTTCAGTACCAGGGCCAGGTCACCTGCTTCCTGCTGTGCTGACTGACTTCTCCTGGAATATCGTGAGCGCTCCGGACCAGCGTACAGGCGATGTGGTAATAGTAGACGGAGATGATGGAGAGAGGAACCAGGAAGTAGACCAGGAAGATCAGCACGGAGTGGATCTTGGGGTGAACCTGGTCTGACGAGGGATATGGGACACAGTTGTCAAAGGTCAGGTTGGACTGGTTCCTGTGACCCTGGAGGGAGAAGAGGACACGAGCTGATTGGACAGTGACAGAAGGTAACCTGCCCCCTGCTGGTCACTGCTAATGAGCACATCACATGAACACCAGGTGAGTGTTGGGGGGGGGGGTCATGTGTCTCACCTGCATGGGGACAACCTGTGAGAAGACGGCCTCTGGTACAGCCAGCAGAGCAGACAGCAGCCAGATGAAGGTGGTCTTCACACCGGTCCAGAAGACAGCGCTGGACGTCGGGGGGGGGGGGGGGGGTCATGTGTCCATAAAGTGTGTTACAACTCTCTTGAAAAGGTCAAGAGTCTCTGATGAGATCGATAAACATGGTTGGACCATAAAGTAGGTAATTGCTGTGCTGCGCTACCTTCCTGATGGTGCTTGGATAAAACAATTCAACATGTTCTGCCTGTAGGTGTCACTGCTGACAGACAGGAACAGTCAGAACAGTGACCACCACGTAGACTGTCACTACTGACTGCTGCTGCAGTGGGGGGGGAGGAGGGGGAGGAGGGGAGGAAAGAGCACTCCTGTCTTCATCCTCTTGACCTCAGTCAGAGAAGGTCAGTTTGAGGAGAACGACTTGTCTTCTGACCCATAATGAGAGGAG